CAATGGGAAAAATAAGCATGCTCATTTATGGTCCTGACTGAAGAGTTAAAAGGTATTTCTCAACATAGCCAAGGCATGCTAATGCAGTAGAAATAGGACAAATCCAAAGAACCATACTCAGTTTAAGAAAGGAGGAGAGAACCACGGAGAAATTTAGGACATCATTTAAATAAATACACAAGAGGCTACCAAGAACTGGCTTTTCATAGCGTCTGTGTTTATTTCCCATACAGGCTATCAGAGAACATTAAACGAGGAGAGCAAGTCTCCTGGGAAAAAAAAAATCCCTTTCAAATTCTTTCTTTCACTTAGCCATGATCTTGGGAAGGGGGAAAAGGAAAATTTCCACTGACCCAGCTCGTGATTTACATGCAGAAAGCTAGTAAATGAATGGAGGCTGAGTGTGTGTGTGTGTGGGGGGGGGATTTAGCTGGGGGTGTGAGGTGTGAGAAGCGGTGTGTTTTCTTCTCTGCTGCAGAAAATAAGATTACTTACCAAGAACATTTTGAACCAGGGCAAATGTTTATTCCCTCGATCATCCAGTGCCTCAGTCTCTGCAAGAAATCAATTTCCACCCTACCCTTCTTCCCTTTTACTCCTGAAAGAGAGAGATGCACAATTCTTAAAGCTTTGGGTTCTGCTGAAGATCGAGGGGAGGGCAAAAGGCTCCCAAAGAGCTCTTTATACAGATCCATGCTATAAGAGTGAACCCAACGGGGAAAGAGAGAGAGATCTTCTGTTAGCGAAAGGAGGGAAGAAGGAAAATCATGCCAAATATAAATCAGTCACAACAGAATTACCAGTTCCTGTCATTTAGGTAGATCCTCCGGGGAATCTATTCTCAAGAGAGGCAGAGGAAGTTCCTGAATCCCCTATTAAAAATAGCAATTATAAGAGACCAGAGAATGAAAGAACTGTGGGCATAGGAAGGTAATGAGGTGGGGGGGGCGGGAAGGGAACTGGGGATCAGAGTGGAGGAGGGGGAAGGAATAAGGCTAATCTTACCCAATCGATCATACAATCGTTTGTTCAGTTTCAGGCTGAGGAATCACGATAGGAAAATTTCAAGATAATACATTCAGTAGAGAGCCATTTCTAATTTCCCTCTCGTTAGTAACCAAGCACGAAAGAGAAAATAGAGGCGTTGGGAAGGGAAAGGGAACAGCCTCGATCACGGCATTGCTCCAGCTCCCAAGGGATAGTCTCCAGGAATTCCCTAGAGCACAACCATAGGCTCTTTCCCCTAACCCCCATCCTTTCCTCACAAGGGCAATTGTGGTTTCAGAAAGAAGGCGATCCCTTTAAGTGGATTGCAAATGGGATTCACCCAAGAAGCAGGCTTCTGCTGCTGCTGCTCCTGCTGCTGCTGCTCCTGCTGCTTGCTGCTGCTGTGACTGCTGGAACTAGTCACTTTCCCTTTCCCAAAGTCTGCCTTTCTCTAAGCCTATCAGGCTCTGTGCCCTTAGAGCTCCTTCTTATCTTCTGGGTTTCTTCCACGTTCTCTGCCCTTGGATTGATTATCATTGAATGGAGCCAGCTGGAGGGCTGCTGTCAGTAAGGGCTGGTTCTGTTGGTTTCTTTTCCCAACACTCCTCCTGCAATAAGTTGCTGCTGGTTGAGAGGGTTTGGAGGGAAATCCCAAATAAAAGGAACTGACTGACTGAACCCTATTAGTCCTATTAATAATGATCACAACTCAGGTGTCTTGAGAGGAACTGAGATTGTGAAGAGCAGTGCAGAATTTCTGAGGCTGTCCTCTCTTGAATTCTCATTGGATCCTCCCTGGCTCCCTAAATCATTCCTGCTGCTATATCTATCAGGATGACTACAGCCTCTCTCACTAGTTCTCTCTTTATCTCCTTGTCTTCCCCACATCCTTTTACTTCTCTGGGCAGATTTATCTGTATTCCTCCCTCTGTTAACTGGGTTTTCACAGTCTCTTTCTTTTCCCCCCTCTTGGGGATTCACAACCTATAATTATTCACTTCTACTGCCTGAGGATCTTCACAAATCCACTTTTCCCCTCCTCTTCACATTTTTGTTTCCTTTTGTTTGGGGTCTGGTGGCTCTCTTGTATATCTGGCTTATACTTGGTTCCATGCCACAAGGAACTGCAGATTATTTCTAAGTCCAACCACCATGCAGATCACTCCTTTAGCTTGATCTGCAGCATCATGGAATGTCTATTTGATTTCTGGATGCATTTTTCTCACAGTCATCTTGCTTCCTGAAATTTCCTCTGGTAAGTTATTCCCTTTGTATGTTATTTGAAACTTACTGGTGCTAAGGATTTTTTTTTAATAAGCTTTGTTTCTTAAGGTTTAAAAAATCTTTGACACTTTGAGAACTCAAAGATTTTTAATTAAATCAACTAATTAACATATTAGTCAGATATGGGCACCAAATCGTACTTCATGTAACTCAATAACTCCCACTATTTTCACATGTTTTTGCTTATTCACTTCTGTTCACATTTACATTACAAGATGTATCTCTAGCCTGTCTGTGCTTTAACCCTTTCTTGGCACTTACATTTGAGCTAAGGGAAAGGTCAAATTACATGTGTGCATCTAAGGGAGCTTTATAAAGCCCTTCTGGGGGAAAAAAAACGGGGTCTGAGAAAGTTCATTACTTCCTCTGATCTGCAGAAGGTTGTTCAGGTCACTACATTGTTATTCTGAGCCAATTATATGACTGAAGTAAAGGTACCTCATTATATGTACTCAGGGTTTCAGGAAAAGGCTTTAGGATTAGAGAACCACAAGGAGTAAAATTATAAGAAACAGAATGTAAAAGAATGTGACTTCTGAGGACATTTATTTTTACTCATTTCCAAATGACACAAGAAGGAAGTGCTGTGGGTAGCAAACGTATAGCATAATTTAGTTATAATATTTGGGTCCCTTGCCCTCCATTTCATGTTACATGCATTTATCTGGTGGTGCATAGAATTGGGAACAGGGATATCTTGTACCGGGTGAGGGTGAGAGTTGATTAAATAAAACAAGTTTATTTTGGCTGTACTAAAAGTCAAATAGTCCCTACTTGAGAAATTTGATCACCCTAACTTCCTCCACTACTCTTCTTCCCCTAATCCTCCACTCCTATTCCCACCCCCACAAAAAGCCTCAGGCTGAACAGGTACCTGGAGGTGGCCCCTATAGCAGTTTGAAAATTTTATGGGCTTAACTGAAGGATTATGATTATCTTCTCTTTCTCTGCTGTGGATATGTTGAGTATATAAATCTCTTCAAATATCTAGTGGGAGGTACAGGGTTCACTCAATGCAAAACCTGCCTGGATGGATAATGTATGCATGTGCATTTGTATTATTTCTGCCGTACCTCCTATTAAAAACAAAACAAAACAAAACAAAAAAAACCCCGAGGGCTTTGAGAACCCCTTTAGCAAGATCAATGGAGTTGAGAATATCATTTTAGGGTTTTTCCCCTCCCTTTGCATTTCTGTCATTTCTAGCGGTCTCTGAAAGTCAAGTGACACGTTCAAATTCAAAAGCCCCAAGTCCAGATGTGTAGGTGCTCCCTTCACCAGGAGCTCCATTCCCAGACTTTGGACTAAAGGGGTTATTTCCCCTTGGTCTCCTCCTAGGATCCGACAGAGACATTATAATCTAAGCCCCACCGCCCCTCACCCATTGCTTCTTTCGGGGGATGGTCGAGGTCTTGCTCATTCAATAGCTTTGCCTAGCTAGCAGGGGAGTGTCTCTTGGAGATCATTTCTCTTGACTTCAGCTGGAGCAACCAGGACTTAGGACAATTAACCACTTCAGTATTCTTGTTGGAGGATTGCTGCTGCTGTTGCTGCTGCGCACCGGTCAGGGGGAACAAACTTTCAGCAGTCTGACGCTTTCTGCTTAACCTAGTCTCTCCTCTGGCAAGAACTAGATATACTGTACTCTAGACGTGCTGTATTTAGGTAAGTGCTTTTCAGTAGCTGTGTGGTGGTCTGCCGCCCCCAGACCCTTCCTCCTAGGACTGCATCTGGGAGAGGCTCCAATCTGCAAGGGAGACTGAGGTTTAGAGGGTTAGCAACAGGCAACTCTCTTTCTTCAGGTTTTCCCGCAGCTAAGAGCAGAGCCTATAAACGATCCCCTGGACGCTCGCCAGGGTGTGAGCAGCGCGAGGGATAGATAAGGTGTCAGTCAGACTGACTGGTTCACTGACTTCGTGGGCAAGATGTTGGTTGGGTGTGGAGGAGGGGATGCCCGGACCTAAGAATGGCTCTGCCCTGCTGCCCCCAGGCTCGTAATCTTTTTTTAATTTTTATTTTTTTTTATTTTTCCTGAGCCCAGGACGGCCCGTTCTTGCCACGGGCGCCAGCTCCCACTCGCTGGGTATTTGCAGCCTGCGAGCACCGGGCGCGTCGGCAGATAGGAATGCCCGCTCCTCTCCACAGCACTCTCTGACACGCTCCACTGCCAGCCTTTCCGGGGCCGGGCGGAAGATTAGCCTCTCCTCCTTACCCTCCATACCAGCATATAGACTTCACCTGGGCAATCAGAAGTCTGTGAGCACCTTTATGTTTTGAGGAGATTGCTTGCAGTGACCTGACCAGGGCTGTGTTGGGTTGGTCTGAATTCATGCCAGTCTCCCAGGATTGAATTCCATGGCTCAATCCCACGATGATCTCGGTGCCCTCCCTGATCCTCTTTCTCACCAGAACAGGAAATGCTGGGGAAAAACATAAATCCCAACTTTGTGCAAAAGCTCTAGCTAGATCTGTGAGGAGCTCTAAAAGCCAGGTGTCTGCTGGAAGAGCTCCAAAACGTGTTTGCCTCTAATGCTAATGGTTCATTACTGCCTTGAATATTCACTTTAAAGTTGCTTCCCCCACCTCTGTTTCTCTCTGTCTCTCTTTGTGTCTCTGTGTCTCTCCCTCTACTTGCTGGAGGCGGGGGTGGAAAGGAGGAGGGTCTGGGATTCGAAGTGTGTTTTCCTTTGGCATTACGGAGAGAGGGGGTGGTGCTTCTTGGCTACTGGCTTCTCAGCTGGTTCTGCAGCCAAGCAGTGGAAGGCAGATAGTTTGAGTCTCCACTGGCTTTCTGTGCTCCTTCCTCTTCCCTGAGAGTCAAACCTAGGAGGCTCTTACTTTGCACCAGTTCTTGAGGACGCAGCAGTATATTGAAACCTGAGGTTAGAATCGCCCTCCTTCTGTTTCCTTCGTGGCAATTCTCATGGGAACATTCAGGGGAAACGCTCCCTTGCCTGTACTCCCCTCAGAAGACAAAGGTGTATACTTCCAGCTGCGTGAGCTGCCCAAAGGCTGTTTGATATAAGGAAGAGACGACCTGGGTTGCAAATTATTCCCGGCATCACTTACAAATGTACTAACCAGGCATAGGCAACAGAAGTAATGAATTATGTGTAGGCTGGTGTAAGAAGCGAGGTAAAGGAGAAACATCGGGTTGGAAGACAGGAGCCTCGTTTTCTGGCCCCTCTTTTTTCTGTCTCTGGTATTTAGATTTGTTTGACATCATGCATTTGAGCAGGTAAGGGATAAAGATCTGGCTTTTGTAGTGTGAATTTCCCATTTACATTTAGCTAGCCTGTGTGTGAGACCCATTCTGCATTGACTTTCTGTTTCCATCAGTACTAGATTTTACCCCCCCGAACCGGTTCTACTCTGATGCATAGAATCTTAACATGCATATTTTATCTCTTGTGCATCTGTTGGAGTGTTTAACTATGTTTTCTTCCTCACCTTTGGGGGAGGGGGAGAGATCCAAATGGCAATTTAGGAGTGTGGAGGGGCAGGACAGGAAAGGAGTAAAGAATTCAGGAATGGGATGCATGACTGTAATGTACCTAGAGTCTTAGTACAGAAATACACTTAAAGTATTTCTTCGGATGAACTTAAAGTAAGAGACAAGTGGAGAACAACTTAGTAAAGAAATCCAGCCATTCCTTTATCCTGAAGTAATAGCTAAGACAAACTTGAAAGCAATACTTGGTGGAAACTTTCATGTCTTATTCTCAAATTATATAAAAGTTATATTTCAAAATATTTAAATTACCAAATGGCAAGAAAAAGACTAGCTTATGAAAAGCAATGTTATAGTTAACCTCAGTGGATAAAACTACTAAAAACTTATTTTAAAAAATATCTAGGCACTAGGAAAATAAAAGCTTTTTAAAATTCATATCACAATGACATGACATGAGTGTTAAGTAAGAGTATTAGGCATAAAATTGTTCAGGGAACTATTTTAAGAGCTGCTTAAAACTAATTTTGTGTGCCTTTGTTTCTTGTTTTGCACTGCATAGATTTTATAGAGCACTATACATTTGGACACTAGCTGTTACTAAGAATTAATTGCAAAACTCTTCATTTTAGTTTTGATGGTGTTTCTCATCTAAGATCTTGCATTCTGTGGATTTGTGTTAAGAAATACTTTTACTAATTACATCTATTGATGTCTATCCCAGATCAATAACTTTATTGCTTCTAATACTTACTGATAGGAACATTCAAGCAATAAAGATAAATATGGCCCTTTTAGGACAAACTAATGAAATTAAAACACTTGACTGAGCTTGATGAAAGAGATAGTTCTTACTCCTACTGGAAAGAGAACCTCATCAATGACTGTTGTTTTTTTTCCTCCCCAATCCTTTAACACTTTAGCTTCTGGTGTTTTTATTATAGAGAATATGTTTATTAGGCTAGGGGAGGGGGAGAAATGTTTTTCTTTACAAACCAGAATGTTAACAATTTTCCAATTTTGGATAAACATGATTTATGTAATCTTAAAATGGTTCATTTTACATGTCTTTTAATGAGATTATGTAATGTGAATTAATACTCCAATAGTACATTTTCTTTTAAGAGACCAAATGCATAATAATAGAAACACTTGTCACTTTTGCAAACAATGTATTTCCACTCTAGTTTTTTTTAAACTAAAATAAGAAAAATATGGGACACAAGTCAGCTGAAAGAAGTTTGGAGTCAGCTCTTGGGAAGAGGATGGATAAGGAAAGAAGCATCCTTCCAGATTAACTTTATTATTCACAATGTCATTGGATGCTGACTCTTTTCCCCACCTCTCTTAAAAAAATATATTCTTTCCCCTTTAGGATATAGTCTTTTTTTTTGTTACTGTTTCTTCTCAATAATGTTACAGAGTATATTTATTGACATTTCAAAGCTTTCATTTTCAATTTAGGCCAACATTTCATTTTATTGTGAACTATTTAATGGTTTGAAGGTTTTGACTTTATCTTAAAAACTTTTAAAGGCACCATTCTAATTTCTCCTTTGGACGTTAAGAGGAAGAATAATCGCTAAATTTAACTCATATAACTGAATGTTCCTTCTAATGAACTATTATAGCTATAAAGAGGTATCAGTTATAAAAAAGTAACATCCCATGTCAAAAATGTGAACAAATTTTCACTTAACTTCGTTTTAACAGGAAGTGATTTTACTTTTCTGACTTAAAGATGGATGATTATCTAGATATGATTTTCCCATTTTTTCTATTTAAATTAGGAAAAGGCATTGTTCTGAAGGCATTGATGCCTAATAAAAAAGGATAGCAGATGGAAGTTAGATCTGTGGCCTCAGTTTCCTCAACTGTATGATGAAGACACTGAGCTCAAAAATCTTGAAGGACCCTTCCAGCTGAAAATTAATGGGGCCAGTTCTAGTCACAGTATCATAGATCTCAAGCAGGAAGGATTTTTAACTTAATCCTCTCATTTTAGAAATGAGGAAAAGCAGGCCTAGAGAGTTTAAGTGACTTGTACCAAGTCACAGAGACAGTAAATGACAGAGCTGAGATTTGAACCTCTATTCTCTAATGCAACACTCTTCTCACTATGCTGGCTATATCTTTGTCTCTAATTAGTCAGCATGAACTTCACCTTTCTGGTCAACCAATTTCCATTTGGTCATTTGTTAGATTGAAGAATATAGCACCTGCTATTCAGAGGGTCATATGAATAAAATGAGATATTAGATAAAAAAAGTGATTCTAAAATATAAAAAATCTATAGAAATATATATTGATAAAATATAGTAAACTTAACATTTCTTATTTGCATATGTCAATCTAATATTGTTTGGTTGCAAACAGTTTTACTGGATTCACTTCAAAAAAAGGTATTGGGTTCAAGCAGACATTTTCAGCCTATAATACTAAAGATCAAGTTGGTATGGGTTTTCCCTTTTGCAACCATTTTTTTGGTTTGGCATTCTTTTCAAAAATCTACCTGAAAGTTTTAAGAAATATATTTTCTGGACCAGATTAAACTTCATTTTTTGCTTTATATAGTTACATTTGATGGTGTCCAATGTTAAACATTCACTTTTACCAATGCACTTGATATTGATTTCCTTCTAGTAGTCTCATGTAATGAGATGGATTTTGATTTCTTAGGAGCTTTATGGTTGTAGACATCAACCTGATGATTTGTGTTGATGTGTTCTTAAGGTGAGAGAGCTGAGGGAAAAATGAGGTAATCTCATATTCAGATAAATATTTGCATTTTCTCATTTTTGAACAATTTGAAAAGGAAAACCTTTTGGATTCCAGAAATCTTTTAGAAAATGCTTTATATTTAGCTAATGAGACACTTATCAGATAAGGTGCCTTTGGTATCAAGTGGCATCAGTTCATTCATCAAATTGGATGATGCCATTTAAATTTGTAATAGTAGTTTACTTCCACCATGTTCTCAACTTTTTTACTACTTTTTTCCATTTTGATTTTAAAGTTTACAATGCGTTGATGTGAAAGAGCAGAGAATGTATCCAGTGTTTTGAAAGGATTTAATGGGATTATCTTAATTTTAATTAAGATGTAGGTTAGTGCAAATATATTGTGCTCCTGAATAGTTGAAGAATATTTATAAAAATTGGTTTTAGTCATAGTTTTCTCCAGTGATTTAATTTTAATCTTGGCCCTCCTGTTAAAGCTGCCCAGAAGGATACTAGATCCATTAGTTGTGGAAGATGGGGGGAGAGGGAAATAAACATTAACTGTAGGGTTTAATATTGGTCATTGAATAACCTTGTCAGCAATATTCAGAAGCTTTTACCACTATCAATTTTGGGCACATTTGAGCAGTTGCTTCAAGGTATTTGTATCCAATTACCTATTCTCAGTGCTATCAGTTACTCAAATTTGAAGTACAATTATTTGATAAGCCATGGATCTGTTCTTTACCAGAACTTTGAAGTGGAAACATATTACAAACAGTGCTTACTTGTTTCACATTATTATGTATTTCCCAGGTAACCTATAACTGATAAATTGATGAGTTTATCTTTAAAATAAGCCCAATTTTTACTTCTACGCTTTTTCTTTATTGTGCAAGAGATCTGAAATACTACATTTTAAAATGATTTGTTTGACCTACTAGGTCTTTCTAGCACCAGCATCTCTGTCTCCTAGACATAAGTTTATTTCTGCTTAAGTGTTGTAAATATAGTTATGAAGAATGACATGGAGTGGAATTATTTATGCTTTTCCTCTTTTCCTTCTCAATCATAATGAATGGGCTGTTTTTTCCTTGGGGAAAAAAATTCTGTTTTAAATTTAAAAAGCTGTTTTAAATAGCTATTGGGCAGAGAGATATGAGGGTGAGGGTAACATAAACATACTTTTGGCTGTGTGATATTTTTAATTGAAATTCCTCCATTGGGAATTCTTTAAGCACTTAAAATTGCATTATATGATGTGTGGGCCTTTTTAAGAACATCCAGACATAGATGCTCTAAAATAACTGAGGCAAAGAGAAATAACTTGTCACATTCCAGTAAACAAAAATCTTTAAAATCCATATTTAGTGATTTAATGAATTAATAAATATGTGAACATTACGCTGAAGTGTATTGTAGGGCTATAATTTATAAAATCACAAAAGGAACAATCCCTATATAGTAAAGTCCTTTTAAATTCCATTAAGAAAATTATTTGAGAAGGTTGTTGGTATGTTTCAATGCTCCTGCAGAAGTAGTAGCCAACCATTTCAGATTGAGCAGAATTAAAAAAAAACACTTTAACAGATACTTGTCACTGTTAATTTGAAAAATTATTTCTGAGATACTGAACTGTTGAAATATACGCTTGTCTTCGGCAAAGCAGTATACATTTCTACATTCTGATTCTTGATGTTAGAATGCTTGTCCCTATATAATTTAATCTTGCTTCCATAACATCTCAGGCTATGTCTATACATATTAAACAGTCTGGAAAAAAATTTCCCCTGAACTGAATCTGCTTCAAAATAAAAGATTGTATTAAGTAAACCAACTGTTTTTAAAGCCACTTTCTGGCCACGTGTTAACCACATTTATTTGCCTCGTAACTTATACATTACAGGCAGCATTTACCTTTGTACTCATCTATATTTAAGACATCTTTTTTAATATCCAAATTTTAAGAACTTCTTTCAAATATGAAAATAAATAGATAATGTCATCTTCCACAATGTAAGAGAGGTCAAAAAGAGAGTTGGTACAACAATAAACCAGAAAGTTTTG